AGCAAATACGCATTTATATAATTTAAACAAATCTTTGAATGAATAATGAACATTTCACAAACCTTGCAGACTTAGTCGCATCCAGTTGAGATCTTGTGAAGGATGCATGTGACCTGCGTGACGGTCGGTCCGTGTGAATTGAATGCGGACAGGAGGAGAGTTCAGCTTCACTGGAGACGCGCGATCGACAAACTTTACATTCGTGATTTCAAATTATGCTGCGCTTTGTGCATTTGCCCACTGCCATATTCATGTCATTATCACTGTGTGCTGTATGTAAAATCAGTGCACACAAACTTCCCAGAATACTGAGTGCCCTGTTGGTTACAGTGTTTACTTCCTTTTCAATTAGATTTTTATTAAATATTTATTTGTGAAAAATGCTTTGTCTTCTAAAGTATAAGTATGTTTATTTTACACAATTATTTTTAATCCATTTTCAAATGATTTCAAATTTCTTAAATATTAATTAAAATAAATAAAATTATATCGGCTTTATATCGGCCACCCTGCTTTCCAAGATATCGGCAGTCCCAAAAAAAACAATATCGGTCGACCACTACTTATAAGTCTGCGATCCGCCGTAAAGCAAGAAGACGCGTCACGCGCTCAGGACAGTTCGGACATTGCGTGAATCAGAGGTAAAAAACGATATAAATACAGTTCAGTTTCTTGCACAGACCGATCGTTTCGTGTCTTTACACATCAATGTATCGTCAGCCCTGGGGGTAAGCAGATAAACATCACATTTTCATTTTTGGGTGAACTATCCCTTTAAGACCTACTGTAATGCATGGATCTAATATAATGTTACACATCAGATTTTTCCCCAACCATTAACTAAACGTTCATGTAAGACATAACGGATTATGTTTGTGAGAATCTCGCCAAGACATATTTCGCAGTAAAGTACTTTGTAGGGAGATCGCTCACTCTCGGAGAGGCGCATTATTTGCACGCACTTTGAAAATGTAAGTCAGCGTGATAGTTTTGTTTTCATCAGCATGGGTTTGAAAATTATATTTCACGGGTTTGGACTCATGTCATCGAGAACTCGATATGAATATTCACAAAGCTGGAATGCTGTGCTTTGCAACAATAAACCTACAACTTAAGCAGCAGCAGTCGTCCAGAAGTGAGCAGAGAAAGAGATCCTCCTCTCAGAAAACGCACAAATAAAGATCATTTTAGAGGTTTAATTACTATTTGGAACTTTGGGATCGCTAGAAGAGGGCTTAATGAACTCAGTTTTGTGAAAACCTCAAATTCGATCAAAACTGACATTTTTCATTTGTTTTGCCTGTAGCTCAAAATTAGACCGTGCACATTCACACTCATTCTGCCAGCACATGTTTAGGAGACATTCAAAGATTTGTTGAATGACGCATTTATATAGCACGTTGTGTATTGCTGTACACCCAAAGCGCTTTACAATCATGTGTGTGTGTGTGTGTGTGTGTGTGTGGGGGGGTCTCTCCTCAATCACCACCAGTGTGCAGCATCCACCTGGATGAAGCGACGGCAGCCACAGTACAGCGGCACCAGTGCGCTCACCACACACCAGCTACAGGTGGAGAGGAGAGAGAGTCATAGAGCCAATCCAGTGGATGGGGATTATTAGGAGGCCAGTGGCAGCAATCTGGCCAGGACACCAGGGTTACACACCTACTCTTTACGAGAAGTGCCATGGGATTTTTAATGACCACAGAGAGCCAGGACCTGTTTAATGTCTCATCTGAAAGACGGTGCTCTTTGACAGTATAGTGTCCCCGTCCCTATACTGGGGCGTTAGGACCCACACAGACCACAGGGTGAGCGCCCCCTGCTGGCCTCACTAACACCTCTTCCAGCAGCAACCTAGTTTCCCCAGGAGGTCTCCCATCCAGCTACTGACCAGCTCAACCCTTCTTAGCTTCAGTGGGCAATAGGGCTGCACGATATATCGAAATTATCAAAATATCGCAATATGCATATCGCAAGGGCGTGCGATATCTGAATTATTTTAATAGGCCACTTAAATCAAAACGTTGGAAAAGGTCAAAGTTTTAGGTTCAACGCATATAGCAGAGAATTGCTTGACGTTAAAAAGAGTTAAGTGCAGTAAGTTGCAGAAAACAACTCTTTGCCGTCTCGTCTTGCTGTCTGACTCACACCTGAAGCGCGCACCTCGCGCAGAGTCTCTTCAGTTCTGCCGCACACCTGCAAAGCGCGCGCACACACACACACACACACACACACACGTTTCAGACGGCGCGCGAACACCGAGTTGATTCGTCTTTTGCATCTCCTCTGCAGCCCTAGCTCATAGCATGTGCTCTTCAATTGCATGCACAAATACGGCGGAGCACGCAGTAGCCTCTGACTGTTCACTTGCCTTTAATCATGTTTGAACTTTCTCAGACTATAGTTTTTGCTGTGGTATATGAAGAAGTACTTAAAGTGTGTGGAAAGCAAAGTTACAATGATATAAAATTAGTGTCATTAATTTTTTTTGTTTGTATGTTCACACTGATATTAAAATGACATTTTCTGATTTGTGACATTACTTTTTATGTACTGCTAAAACACTGCTGGTCACTTTCTGAAGTTGTAGTGATTCTTTCTTTTCCAAGAAAGAAATGTGAAACAAATTAGTTATATAATTTTAATTTTTAAATATTTTAAAATATAATTGAAATTGATTTTACACACTTTAAGCAATATTGTATCGCATATCGCATATCACATTTTTCTTTAGTGGGCGACCAGTCTTGGGCTGCAGGGCGATATGGCTGTGGCACATATGTTTAAATGATATTAATATGTATTTGCTAAATGCTAAATGACAGTAAGCGAGAAAGTATTATAATGATTGCTTTTCTATTACTAATAATATAAAAGCAACTTTTTTGTATACCTTTTAGTTTCTTTTGTTTAACAGTTCTGTCTGATTATTAGACAGACTTCTATCCGTATTAGAACGGTTAATGGAGACCGTAAACAATGAAGAGGGAGAAGGTGAGCTCTGTGTGCACAGGCACTGCCATTTTCTGCACTGTTAAAATAAAAGTCCAGCTTTGAACACATTTGAAAAATGCCACATGTCAGCAGATATACATCACTAATGAAGACGCCAATGTTTGACACCAAAGGTGTATATAATCCATTGCGTCTTTTACGCAGGGAACAAAAAGAAGGGTCTGCTGTGACCCTAATCTTTAGCTATTAGTATAATAATTAGAACAAATAATTCTGCAAAAGTATAATTTCCAAAAATAACAATGACAATTTCTTCTGCACAAATTAAAACACATTTGACTAGAGGGCACTGAATGTCTTCTTAAAGCAAAATGACAGGTTTTTAACTTGCCAGCTAAACTTAATCATTTTATTTATGCCATTTATAACAGGTATCAAATGAATTAAAAGCATCATAGGAAAAAAAAAAAGTTACTTACCCATAAATATTTCTGACTTGCTGGTCTTTCACCTCTCTTTTCTTCTGTCGACGGATCTGTTGTTTAGCCTCCTTGTCAAGTTTCAGGGCAAGTGCCCTCTTCAGCTGGCCTTCTTCATTGCTCAGGCTCTTCAGCTCTTTCTGCAGGGTTTCATTCAGGGCTGCTAAGCTCCGGGCCTGTACAATAAACATGCATAAAGGTTGTTTTTAAGCCTTTAATACTTCTACACAGAAGCGTATTATGCTGCTGCGTGTATCTGAGCATCACCTCCTCTTTTTGCTGGTAGGTCTTGCACATGTTGCTCTGTAAGTCCTGCAGCTGTTTGAGGAAGACCTGGATTTCTGCCTCCAACTGATTTACACACTGCACCAACATCTGCATTTCCACCAGCCTTTCATCAAGCAGCTCCTGTCTCAGACACACAGCGAAACAGAAACAGAAATCAAACCGGATAACATCGATAACCAGTGCGAGAACAACAGGGCTTTACCAACACATGTCCATGACATATGAGACCGTATTCATGACCTAATGATCCATTCTTTTAGTTAGAATAAAAATCTGTTCAAATTTATCACAGCATGCGTTAACTGAAATAAATGACTACTAATGCTAATGCTATTTCTTTACTAAATAAGCACAAGCTGCAGCGGTGCCAGACGTGACTCAAGCAGAGATCCCATCACCACATCAGCGGATAGTCATTTATCTAACCAATATTATCAGGAACTGAATGTTGTTTTGGAAACGGTTTCAGACTAACAGTAGTATTCAGATACAAAAATTAAATAAACTGTAAATTAAAAACAGATTAAAGTTACAAAAGTTATTTAATCAAGAGCAGCGAGTGATTTGTCTGATTAACATTAACGCTTTATTAGGCTGCGGTCACTGATACTCGTGCGCTTTCTTTCTCAACCGTTTACATTCACTTAACACAAAACCGAGTGTTCACCAGGATATATAATATGTTTACCAATAATGTCCAGGACAGACATTCTGACGTCATTTTGTTTGTAATCAGCTGCAAGCTATGAAATATATCTCTGTATGATCTCACAGTCAGTGTGGACTCATCTAACCTACAATGCAATATTGAACAAATGTACGCAGGAATTTCCCTAATTTTAACTCTAACGTTGCGGGAAGGAGTAAAACTATGCAAACTATGCGATATATGCGCAACCACGTACCGAAATTCAGGACCTGATTAAAACATAATACTATTATACAGAGATTTGTGAAATTAATTTCTATGACTTTCCCAAAACTTATCCAGGTTAAAACTACATGACTTTGACAGGTTTTGCACGACCGTATGAACCCTGGAACAAAGATCTGTTGACTTAATGGCAGCGAAAAAAAAAACACTTGCTTGTTGTAAGCAAACGTTTCACATTACATAAAGAGCACGCTAATTATACATACTTTTGACATCCTAATGTTCTTCACGTTCTCTTTCATCCTTTCCATCTCATTTCTTAGTTCTTCGGGTGACTCCACAATTTGAGACTTGAGATTGACCATCTCATGCTTCAGTGTGGACAAACCCACATACCTTTGAGTCTGTAGGGGAATTTAAAAAAATAACTTTTCCCTTTATGTTTCAATCACAAAACAAGGAAAAACAACAAATAATAAGATAAGATTTCATTGAGTTTTTGATGTGCATTCAACACTGTTCATCCAGAAGCTCAACCAAACTGGCTTAACATGCAGGAACCTCATTGGCTCTTGTGTGTCAAGCACACATTCATTTACCGCATTTGATGAGTGTTGATCAATGTTTATTGATGAATAAATGAAAGGAAAAAGTCAAACATGTTAGCAGGGCTCTCAACCCTGCTCCTGGAGAAGCACCATCCTGCACACTGCAGCTCCATCACACCTGTAGTCATCTAGATCCCCTCCACGAGCTGCGGTTCAGGTGTGTTTGATCAGGGTCAGAGCTGAAATCTGCAGGACCGTAGCTCTACAGGAACAGGGTTGGAGACCACTGGATTATATGGACCAATTCATATCAATTACATTTACGATGTCTTCGTAAGGTCTGGTGGCGTGCAGTTTCAGAGGATGGACAAAAACAAGAACATTAAAAATATCTTATTTGATGAATGAAAAAACATGAATGTAAATGTGCGGCGGCGTCCAGCAGAGTATGTGAGCGGAGTGAAGCGTCAACGGTTTCCCCAAGCATTTAATAATCGCTCCGCTCCTCGCTCACTGATCTCAGAAACAACGCTCCGCGGCTAAAGTCTTTCAGTATGTTTGAAATATCACAGTTCTGTTCATAACATATCAAAAAATAAAATAAATACAATAACAAGAGTTTCAAAGTGGCTTATTGGAACGCTAGTGTGCACACTTTTTTTCCTACCACATGACAAGCTAATAACATGGTTGTCAGCTTTAATAAGTATAATTGCTGCTTTTTGCGGTGCAAATGTTGTTTGTGATGAAATTAACAGTATGTTTTCGTCAGTTGTTTTAGCTACGTATCGATGCATTTCTTACAGATTTCTGCTCGTTCGAAATCGGATACAGATGTAGTAAGATTACATTTGTTTGAATGCATTATTGAGAGAGCGACTGAGTGTTATAGTACTTGTTTAAATCATGCTTTCAGCTGAAAATATTCAGTATCTAGAAGGAACAAACAAATTCCTTGAGAACTATAACTTCCCAGATATTATTGCTGGCGGGCCAGGGGAAAAAATATCAATCTTATTTTTGAGCTCTGTGAAGCCTGATAGTGAAACTGAAAGAAAGAATACAAAAGCTACTTACTGGGGTTGATCAAGTCATTCAGCCAAAAATCAAATACATGACAAAACGGTAAGAACTCGCACCTAAAAGAAATATAAATGTGGAGAAACTCAGCGCTGAGGAATACATGCAGACCTTCCACAACATCTCATCATACTCAGTTTTCAGGGACTCTGAATAAAATATTTCAGTCGATATTAGAGTTAAACTCTTACATGCGTATGTAAACGCTCATGATTGGTGTAAGCCACTCATAAAGAACTTGGTGCTGGACGTTTTCAGACAAGGGCATCTGTGGGAATATGGGTGAATAATTCAGAATTCAGCTCTGATGTGAAAAAGCAACACTGAGGTAAATAAGCACAGACACTCACCACATAATGGCACTCAGGTTTGAAACGAAAGAGCTGCAAAACCCTGATGAAGACTCTTTGAACGGATTCTGCCTGCAAATGAAATGCATTATTTTAATGTCTGGCATTTTATACTAATTCAATAACCTTTCCGGTTGCTGTGTTTACCGGATAAAGTGTTATTTGTAAAGCTTCCTTGTCTAGGACAGTGGAAACCCTGAATAGTTCGTCCAGACGCGCATGTGTAGCGGAGTATACTTCACCTTCGGGCTCGGAGTAATGTCGCTCTTGCTGAAATGCTTAGCCTCTGGTCCAGTCAGAACCTCGGTTCGGTAGAACTGCACAATGGCATCCACCTTGTACACCGGGAAAGTGCTCCCAGCCATGTCTGCTGCCCAAAGATTAAGTAACTTACATTAATAACTCTATCTACTCTATCTAACTCTATTAATAACTCTATCTACATGCGCGTCAGACAGACACTGTTTACAAACGCGTCGACATTACGATTACGAACATTTGTACATTATAAAGCTCTACAGGGAATTCAAAGATACAGAATTATATTACCATCTTTTGCACATTGTTGGTCCGACATTACTGATAATGTCTACAAATAATACCGAACTATTGTACTAACCAAGTTTACGCTTGAGACCCTCGCCGTCAACTGAAGCTAATTTAAACCGTTGGCGCCTCTGTCGTCACTTCCGCCGCACGTTCCCTACGTCACGAATCGTCGCAAAAGCAAAGCGTGTGGCTCCCTCTACTGGACAGTTTATGCGTAGCTATGAGTAGTTTTATTTCAAATATAAATTAAAAATTATAATTACTGGGATAAATTATGTCGTCATCCTTATTAATTGAAATAAATTAAAACGTCATTAAAAGATGCACATATCGTTAGTAGCCTACAAGCTTATTGATCATGTTCAGTAATGCGCCTTTTTCTTGAAGAGTTTTTCCAGAACAAATAGAATACAGAAGGATGAGGGACGTTTGGTTCACCTCCGCTCTTAAGAGTCCAATAACAAACCCTAAATACTATTAGATAATTATGCAATGAGATACGGTGTTCGCATCATTGTAATGTCAGCCCTGAGCTGTTTGGGGTTCATATGCAGTGTGAAAATACATCTGGAGAAGCCAGTCTTCAACTGTGCATGGGAGATTTAAAGCTAAAGCTTGTAGCCTATACCCATTTATATTATTCGCTGACTCAGATTGTTTCTGTAAACACATTTTATGAGCAGCCTAATCAATGCAGAAATCCAAATAATTCCAAAGGGATCAAAAACTTTTATTGCAACGGTAATTAAAAAATATATTTATAAGATTATGTATTTATAATAATATGTATTTATAGTAATAATAATAATAATAATAACATTTTATTTCAAAAAGCAGAGTTGCACTTTATTTTAAGGCGTTCTTGTCACAGTGTAATTATACATTTAAGGACCGAGTAATATTAATTAGCTACATGCACTTACTATATGGTTAAGGATAGGATTGGGGTTTGCCTCAGGGTTACTTGCATATAATTATGCATAATTTATTGTTATTATAATAGTAAGTACATGTAACGTGTAACAAATCATGTTTTTCATTGTGCATTCCAATGATATTATTGCTGGCGGGCCAGGTCTGGCGGCCTGTTGCTGACCCCTGCTGTAAAGAAGTCATTTTACTGCATGATTTCAAGCTAAATGCTTAAGTGATTTGAAATGTATTGATATGATTAGGTTCAGCGTCTTAGAATTGCGACAAATGAACAGAAGTTCTATTCCATGTTAAAAATAATTTTAGTGTGGATTTGGCAGACAGCGGTCTCACTCAGACGTACCTCACAACACAGAAGAAACGATCTGTCACTGCTCTGGTTACATCACGTCATTAACCCTCATGCAACAGCTGTGAATACAATCTGATCCATTTAAATTTATGATCCTATACATACCAGTTTCTGTGACATCTCAGCAATTTCAGTCTTGCACTGTGCAACCGTTTCATTCACTGCGTTCTAAAGAGAGAACATACAGACTCAAACACAAAGAAGACAAGGGGGGGGAAGCATGCAAGATAAGCCCTGCGAAACACTGGGCCATGGGACAGCTTTAATGCATCATGTCAGTAGTGAACTTGGTCAAAACGCTAAGATCCAGAGGTCATTTATGCAACAAAACAGTATGCACACAATCAGGTACACGTATATGTAAAACCCCTGCCAGCTCACCACATCCTGGTACTGGTGCTGCATGCTAGCTTTCAGCTCTGCCACAGCGGCGTCCAGCTCTTTATCCTCGGCTTGCTGCTCCGGCGGTATGGTACTGTCAAGGAAACGTTTGTCTTGTTCAGAATTAAGCATCATTTTTAATAAAACAGACATATTTAAAGAGAGAGAAAAAACACACTTACGTTAGTTTCTCACTCTTTTTCTCAGCTTCCTTTATTTCTCTTGTGTATGCCTTGACTCTGTCCTTATAAGACCGCTGCTTAACAAAAAAACAAAGTCAGCAAAACAATGTTATGGCCTTGATTTAATGTGAATCGTCACAGCACAGTATTTGCAGAGTAAAAACGTACAGGTTCAACAGCCTACACCCAAGAAAGAACATATTAACGGAAAAATGAAATCTGCACATCAAATGTTTTGAGCTGACTAAATCGTGGACATCAGATAAATATTAAAAACAGCATCTTACAAAACTTTGCTGGTCGTCAGCAATAATTTCCATCCTCTGCTTTTTGAAGTGCAGGTAATTTTGGATTGCACTCAGTATAATGATTGTTCGCTTGCTCTCTGTCAGAAGGGTGAAAAATAATTCAGCTCTGCATCACTGGTCAACATTAAATCAGCATTAAACTTGGAAAAAAACCTGAAATAATTTAAATAAAATGCTTACAATTACTGTTTTATGTTGGCTTGAATATATTCCCCATTAATATTTTTGGGTGACCTATTCCATTAAGTTGACAGGACTGCAAGAGTGCTTAATAAGACATACTGTGTTTTGTAACTTGTATTAAACAAATAGTAAGTACATGTAACGTGTAACAAATCATGTTTTTCATTGTGCATTCCAATTAATCTCAATCAAACTGCAGTTGAGTTATTTTGATTAGGTTAAAAATAACAACAACAAAAAATACAGCTAACTAACACAATAAAACATGATAACATAATAAAAAAAACATGATTTTTGAACATATTTATCTGTTTTTGCAAACAAACTCTTCATATATATATAAAAGATTATGCATCTTTGATGGGTTGCATAAATAGTACAGTAACTACAGTCGCTTTTTCAAGCAGACCACCGATGCTTGGGTAGTTTTGAAATGCCTTGCCGCGTGGCAACGTGCGCGAAAACAAAGTCCGTGATTGGCTGACTGCACCCTGACGTCAGAGTTCCGTCCTCGGCGTCACTCTTTCGTTTCTTATAATGTGACGGTTAATCGGTTATAGTTTTTCGGTGGTAAAAGCAGAAAGTGTTAGAAATGTGAGAGCGCAGCGTGTTTGTTTGCCAGGGTAAAGCAGTGAGGCGCGGCTCTGAGACGCCTAACAGCGCTCTACCGCGTCGCGTCGCGTCGCGTCTCCAGAACTACAGTTTACAGGAGAGCTCGCACTGCAGCGATGTTACTGCTGGACTCCGAGGACAGCTACGATTTAGTCTTCAAAATAGTTCTTGTCGGAGATGTCGGTGTCGGCAAAACCTGCGTGGTGCAGCGTTTCAAGACCGGCGTATTCCTCGAAAAACAAGGGAACACGATCGGTGTGGATTTTACCATGAAGACCCTGGAGATACACGGGAAGAGAGTTAAGGTTAGCACTGCTAGACCACACTCATTACTGTCGTGTTTTAGGGTTATTAGTCTGATATCGAAAAGTCGACAGTTTACCCATAAAATGAAGTCTTATACTGTGGTGACCACATTTGTTCCAAAAAATGGCCTTACTGTAACGTTGGTTATTGTTATTACTGTACGTCTTGTCACATTTATTTGGGGTTTCCTGCAAATCGCCATTTTATTATTATGAATATTATTTTTAACTGAGAGGTGACTAACACATCACAGTTGTACACAGACCTGTAATAATAATAGTTGTCTTGACTTTAATGTTTTATAGGAGGTAAGACCGTCACTTCTGACGTGGACTAATAAAAGTGAAAATGCTGTGAAGTTTGTTGTTGGCTTTAGGGCTTAAAGGGGTCATATGATGCGATTTCAATTGTTCCTTTCTCTTTGGAGTGTTACAAGCTCTTGGTGCATAAAGAAGATCTGTAAAGTTGCAAAGACTAAAGTCTCAAATCCAAAGAGATATTCTTTATAAAAGTTCAGAGTCAGCCACGCCTACCTAAAACGGCTCGTTCTAACACGCCCCCACATACCTACATCACTATGTGGGAAGATTTGCATAACGCCGCCCAAATGTTCACGCAAAGAAAGAAGGCGTAACTTTTATTCTCGCTGTAGTATTGTTGCTGCCGCCATGTCGTGGAGACGCTGTGTTTTTCGTTGTGAAAGCGAAACTAATTTGTTTGGTCTTCCAAAAGAGGACACGACTAGAAATCAGTGGTTAAGTGGTATTTACAACACTGTTCCAGAACACTTCAACACAAATATTCAGATGTGTGCAGCACATTTTATGGAGGACTGTTTCCTGATCCTGGGAGAGTAGACTACAATGCCGGCTGTTCTGACTCACAGACAGTAAGTACATTTTTATATTTAAAGGATTTGCCACTGACAATTCAAACTAGGGTTGTGACGGTGAGGAAATTTTCCCACCGGTTAATCGACGTGTGACAACACCAATAATACCGGTATCACCGCGGGGGCGGGGCGTTTCCTCGCTTTCCTTCGCTTTTAAATAGCTTGTAAAAGCGGCGTGCGGTAAAACGGTATCGATATTTATCGACGGTACACCTTCATCGATAACGATATAAAAAATGTTCGATATAGCGCACGATATAGGCACGTACTATGAGTGACGCAGACCGCACACACAAACACGAACACATGCTGAAATGAGTGCGTAAAGAATGAATATTAGTCGAATTTAAAATAAACATTTGCATTTGAATGCAAAAATGGTACAATCCAATGTTAGGAGTGCGTCAGGGAGCGTCATCAGTGGCGCGCGAGACGCGGTGATGATGTAAGTGACGTTGTTGCATTTTAATGTTTTGTTAGTCTAGCCCACGAGACGCGCCGCTGCTGCGTTATTCATTCAAAATATTAGAGAAATATAGAAGCTCAATGCGGAGAAGATCTTGATTAGGTTAAAACTGAAACCAAGCCATTCACACGGAACACATATTCAGTGCATTTTCTGAAGGACAAATATGACTGCTGCACTCGCGTCTCACACAAGAGATGTAGGCATGCAAAGTTAAAACAGTTTAAACATTTAGAAAACATGTCACAAATTTGTGGAAGTTTATTCCTTTTTACTGCGTCTCATATGTTTTTAAATGCAATCTGTGTGATCGGCGATTTGGCTCTTTGTATTAGGCTAAGCAATGCATAAACACATGATGCTGTTTTGTTCATAATTGTTTATGCAATTTACAAAATTATATTTGATTTATATGAGTTCTTTTCGACGTAATGCACGTTTTTATAGACAGTTACTTCCTTAAGTTGACAGTTTAATGTGCTGCATTATTTTGCTCATTGCGCCCTCCTGTGGCCTCGGGAGACAAGACAAACGTTTAATCTATTTAATCTGCATATAAAACATTAGAAATGAGATATTTGTTTAATTTTTATTTTGTTTTTGACTGTTAAAACAAAAAAATATTTGTTGTTTGTCTCAATAAATTGAGTTCATTTAAAAATACAGTGGTTAAATGTAAACATTTTTTTTCTATTGCTCTTTGTTTTAAAAAAGGTTATAAAAAATGTCAATAATTATCGATACCGAACGATATGTCACATTATATCGTTGATACATTTTTTAGCTTTATCGCCCAGCCCTACTTAAACCGCATAAACACATTTCATTACACAAAATAATGCTCTTTTTAGCAACGTCATATGACCCCTTTAAAGTTGGCACACTGGACGCTTATGCAATAGCCAAGGTGTTTGTCAAGCTGTAAACAAAGCCTAGATCAAACTGTCTGTCGAGTCCGCTGAGTCTAATGTGCTTTTATTTATCTTCTGTAATAACCCTTTTGCAACATTCATAAGCATAAACAAAAACACAGATACTCGGTTGTGCTGGATTGGTTTAGTAAAATCTTGTGTTTTCTCTCGGTATTTTCTGTCCTGGGTTGTAATTGTTGTGTCATGTCATGTTTTTGTACCGCTTGAGCTTGAAAAAGCCACTTTATTTTGCACATTACACATTAGTTTTTCATAGATAATGCATACAAAACTGACAGTCATGTTATATGAATGGAAAAATGCAAAACGATGAATAACTATTTAAGATTCTGCACTATTTCTTGGTCATTAATCAAGTAAGAAAAGTTGTGCTGTTGATCAGGCTAAAGGCCCAAATATGACTATGAAAATTGGTGCAAACAAGATTTTCGACAGACGCAGTTTTGCTTTGTTTATTGTATTGTTATTGTTACTCATCCTTCTCCGCTTCTGATGGCTGGAGAAAAAGACCAGGTGAATCTGTTTTGAATGTGAGTTTTTCTTTTCATTCAGAAATGTTTATTCAACATTTCCTTTTGCACTTAGTGTGAAAGCGCCTTAAAGTTCACCCAAAAATTAAAATTAAACTTCATCCTCATGTTGTTCCAAACCCAGTTTAGCACACAAACAGCTTAAAGTCATATAAATATGCAACAGCAGACATATTCATGTAGTGATGAGTTATACATGACCAATTCTGTGATCTGCTAACTGGAGATTTAATGAGTGAATCACTGGGGTTTTAGCTTGTGTGTATCCGGATGTTACTAATAGTGAATGCAACAACATGTGTGTAGGATAAATACACTGTATCAAACTTCACCACAATTACATAATCGCTAAAGACACCTAATGTAGAGTGGCTGCAGTATTTATAAGTGTGATAGTACAGTACAATAGAAAAGGCAATAGAGGTACAGGTAAATATGCAGTGGTGTAGTTACAGATTTGGGATACAGCCGGACAGGAGCGGTTTCGCACGATCACACAGAGTTACTACCGCAGCGCCAACGGAGCCATCATCACTTACGACATCACGAAGAGAGCCTCCTTCATGTCTGTGCCCAGGTGGATGGAGGACGTGAAGAAATATGGAGGATCCAACATCGTCCCGCTGTTAATCGGTGAGTGCAGAGCTGAGGAGTGAGTGTGTCTGGCATTCCCGTGGTTTCCTTTATGAATCGTAATTGCTTTAAAGAAATAGATCACCCTAAAACTGTTTTCACCCTCAGGTAGAGCTGCATGATTAATTGTGACCCTGCAGCACAAAAGCAGTGTTAAGTCGCTGGGGTATATTTGTAGCAATAGCCAACAATACATTGTATGGGTCAAAATTATAGATTTCTCTTTTATGCAAAAAATCATTAGGATATTAAGTAAAGATCATGTTCCATGAAGATATTTTGTAAATTTCCTACCATAAATATATCAAAACTTAATTTTTGATTAGTAATATGCATTGATAAGAACTTCATTTGAACAACTTTAAAGATGATTTTCTCAATATTTAGATTTTTTTGCACCCTCAGATTCCAGATTTTCAGATAGTTGTATCAGCTAAATATTGTCCGATCCTAACAAACCATACATCACATTTCAAAACATTGACCCTTATGACTGGTTTTGTGCTCCAGGGTCACAATAGTTAAAAGATCACGATCTGACACAGAGACAGAGAGCTAGCCTGTTTTCAGCGGCACACTGTTATTTCTGTCTTACAGTCGTTCATATCATCACAGAAACGCTGGGGTGAAAGTTGATGTCTACGGTAGCGATCAAAATAGAGCAAATCCTCATTTGAAAGTAACTGGAGCTTCAAATAACCTTTGTGTGATTGCATTGTTTTGTCACTAGATGGAGAAAAGTGACTGTTAAAAAATGTATTTGTCATTGAATCATTCATTCAAACCACTTTTTCATGATTTTACCATAAAACAATGATGTATTAAATATATTAAAATGTTTAACAATTCATTCTAATTAGTTAAGCACTTTTAAATAGACTGCAGCAATAATATTTTGTTCAGTTCAGAATCGTGCAACTCTGCTAGAGTTTGTTTCTTCCTCACCTGATGAACAATCTGATGAAGAAACAAACTCCTCTACGTCTCGGATGGCCTGAGAGTGAGAACATTTTCAGCAAAATGTCATTTTTGTGTGAACTATTCCTTTAAATAACTGTTTCAGCAAGGTCTCCTGATTAAAGCGGTTTAGTTTTGCATCCCAGGTAATAAATCAGACCTGCCGGACTTGCGTGAAGTTCCGGTTGAGGATGCTCAGAGCATGGCTCAGCAGCTGGATTGTGTTTGCGCCATCGAGACTTCAGCCAAGGACTCCAGCAATGTGGAAGAGGCATTCAGCCAGATGACCAGTGAGCTCATCCTGAGACACGGCGGGCCCATGTTCACTGAGACCGTGACCGACAGCTTTAAACTCAACAGCAAGGATGTGAGCAGTGAGGGCTGGGGATGTGAGTGTTGATGAGCAATAAAAAGCTCGCTCAGTCGCTGTATAGATTGAGTACTGTCAGGAGGAGATCTTACTAGGAGTAAAACACTCTCAAAACAGTCAGACGTACCTGTGAAGACATTGGGCATGATTGCCAAGAACAAAATTGTCACACATTTTTAAAAAAATCATAAGCAGACAAAATTATTTTCTAAAAGTCTAGGCTTGAAAGAACAAATAAGACGTTGTCGTAAACAGTAAGAAGTTTCCAGTTCTGTCTGTCCACACTGAACGCAAAACTACTGTGACGTGACACAATGGCAGCCAGTCAGATCGTGTTTGATGCTTAATGTGCGGTTATGGTTATGTGTAGCCAGACTTTGGACCAGTGAGACTTCACAATGGGCAGGGCTTCCTGAGATAACCAAGCAAGCTGCTGATCAGATGCCCTGTCGCTCGTCAGACCGGCTGCAGGCTTGCACACGTGTGTGTGACGTGTTTATATGCCAGCAGAGGTTTTGTGCTGCATGCTTTGGTTGACTGTATCCAGCATACATACCATATTTAATTGATGCAAATGAAGACGAGGCTGTGAGGGATAGACATATTTTGTCATCGGTGTGATCGACAGCCAGTTATTGCTGTATTCCAGTTGTGGTAGATGTGTTGTTTAGCCAGACTAAGGTGCACTGCCACTGGCTCAATCTTCCTAACAGTTATGTAACTGATCTTTGGTAACTGGCTCAGCAATATTTCTACTTTTTTATAGCTACTCATGATTTGAAGAGCAGAGGCCGCGTGATTGTGTGAAAATGTTGAAATGGACTTGCACCAGAACACAGAGAACAAATCACTTCTGTTGCACGGAATGGAGTTTCTGTAGAGGTTATAGGGTTTGTGGCTTTCCCTTTCGTCCGTAGTGACCAGAAATCTCTCATTCTGATTTTACTGGCCTGAATTCCCAGCATTGTATCAGGAGCCGTCATCCTAAGACATTTTGCCAATGTTTTTAATGCGTTTTTAAGATTTAAAGAAAAAAATATATTTAAAAATGCAACATTTTTCAGAATGCATTTAATAATCCAGGTAGCAACATCACTTGTAAATATGTGCTATTTTGTGTAAATGTATGTTTTTTATAAACTGGACAATTTAAAAAAATGCAGACTGTTCTTGCAACCCGTTTGAACTGAAATGTTATTGTAGATGTCACATGGGCATTGATATTTTATACTTTGCATTCATTTATATATACCACAAAGCCTCGTTTAATTACAATAAGAGCATAATAAACTAGCTTTTTAAACTTGCATAACAGCATTTTTCTGAAAATATTGTGCCGTGTTTAATTTGTGACAGCATTGCACTGATGAATTAGGAAGTAACATCAATTGCATGAATAACCAGAGCTGTATTTGTATTAGCCTGCAATATCTTCTTCAGGTTCAGAGCTCAGATCGGTACTTTTTATTTATCTTTTAAATCAAGAAAAAAATGTAGGTCTTTCAAATCGAGGTCTAAATGTAGTATATGGTTTAAGAATGTCAAGTGTTTAGTTTCACAAATGTGTATTTTTGGAAAATGAATTTCTTTGGTTATACAGAATTTGAGTGAAAAACAACAGTATGTGAAAAGTCAGGTGTACTTGAAGGTAAATCATATTGCAAGAGGATTCTTCAGAGAATTTACAGTGCCTTTTAATATTGTAGTTTGCTTTTAATGTCACTGTGTTATTACTATGCATTTTGTTGTTTTTTGGTCAATCGGTTAAAAGTTTTGAGAAACATGATCAATCTGTATTTGGTGATAAATTATATAATTTTATCAATAAAACTATCACAGCATAACCTGTATGTGTCACACTTTTTTTGAAATGCTTAATTCCTTCAGCAGATATGAATGTATTAATTGGTCACGTGTAGAAAACTCAAAATTATTAACCCAGGTATATGCAGAGTATACATTTGAGGAGGTTAAAGTTTATGTACTCTTCCTCGAGCTAGCGGTTGTAGAGGTTGGCACCATAAATACCAGTCATCAGGTTGTCCCTAATTACATTGAGAAGATTTAACAACAGATGTCTTGAATTCCTAACAAAAAATGTCCTACCATGTCCATGACACATTTAGCATTGTTTTGTTTTCTAGCATGGGTTCAGTGTGATGAGTTGAGTTGTGTTGGACATGTATTATTTTTATTCATACATTTATTTATTCAGTTGTTCAAAATTGCATAAGGAGAATGATGTTTGCGAGAGTAAGATAACAGGCGTGACACTGGAAAAGAGACGGGCTCAGCACAGCACAGCTGTTTCCGACATACTGTTGCTTTATGAGTTACTTCACTTGTCATGTTTATAGTGGTTATATAGTTTTGATGTCATGATGAGTTTTACAACGGTGGAAAAAGGTGAAGGGAGGAGTAGGCCGTTCATTTCAACAGTTATAAGCCAGAACATGATAAAACACTGAATCCCTGACATTTTCAAGCGACAGCTGAGAACTCATCTCTTTCAACACTACTTGACTTCATCTTAAGAAAAAAAACGTTGCTTTCTCTTTCTTAATCTCCCTGTCTAGCTTGTATTAATCTGAACAATGCCTGAAACTTTGTATTGCAAACACTCCCTGCATTATTTGCCTCTTTATGATGAATCGCTTATTGTATTCCTCAACTGTAAGTCGCTTTGGATAAAAGCGTCTGCTAAATGAATAAATGTAAATGTAAAAAGAACCATTACTTTCTTAGTGTAAAGAACACTTTAATAATCTAAAGAACCTTTTTTCCACTAAAAGGTTCTGTGGATGTTAAAGGTTCTTCATGGAACCATCAATGCCAATAAAGAACATTTATTTTTAAGCATCCTTTATGGATATGATGTAGCAAGCAAACACAATAATACTGCCACAAAACGTCAATATGTGTTAGACAGGTGTTTTGTTGCGGAGACTTGTATCTATAAAGGAACTGATTAACCCTGTGCTTATAGAAATATTCACTGGTGTGAAGTCTGACAGCTAGCCCTGGTGTCCTCTGATCATTCACCTTGCTGAAAGTGCCTCTGCCATCCACATGAGGTCCATGTTACAGGCCGAGAGCGGCAGATGAGACCGTGCGGGCTTTCGTAGGCATTGCTCAGATAGCCGTTGGTCAGAAGAACGTCAGTGACGAGCTGTAAGTTTGTTTCCCATCGAATGGGCTCCTCAAACAGAACTACAGCTAGAGGCACAGGACAAAAGAAGAGGATTTAAGTCATGTCATTTAGGATAACACCTTTTCTGGTGTGCGTGTACATTTGATCAGACAGATTAGTGAATCATTCAGACCAGTTTCATGAAAATCTTCTTCTTCTCTATTGTCATGAATATCTGAGAGAAACAGCTTCTAGAATGAAGAAAAAATGGTCTTTGTGGGAATTGACTGGACTGATTAACTTGACTTGTTTAAAATTACGAGGATGTGTGAATTTTGGTAGCACTATATTTAACAGTCCTGTTCCTCATGTACATACTATGTACTTATTAAAGTAATTACAATAACTAGGTACTAACCCTGAACCTACCACCACTAAACCAAACCTAACTCACGTAGTTAGTTACCTTATATTACCCAAACTTTCTTAGGTACACTGTAAAAAAAAATCCGTAAAATTTACGGTAAAAAACCGGCAGCTGTTGTTGCCGGAATTTTACCGTAAAAAATACGGTAGCAACGTTTTAGGTTTTACGGTTTTAACTTAAATTTACAGTTAAATACCGTAATTTCATTTGATATAATGTTAATATACCAACCTATTGAAGTACTGAAATCTGTTTTGTACCTTTGTAATACACTGATAACCACCAAATGCAGGTGGTGATGAGAAAGTCACATGATGAAACAAAGCCCATCACAAGCAGCTTTTATATAATAACATATATAGAAGGTGCACAGTGTCATTCACACAAACACTAAACACTCAACACTACTTGACTTCATCTTAAGAAAAAAAACGTTGCTTTCTCTTTCTTAATCTCCCTGTCTAGCTTGTATTAATCTGAACAATGCCTGAAACTTTGTATTGCAAACACTCCCTGCATTATTTGCCTCTTTATGATGAATCGCTTATTGTATTCCTCAACTGTAAGTCGCTTTGGATAAAAGCGTCTGCTAAATGAATAAATGTAAATGTAAAAAGAACCATTACTTTCTTAGTGTAAAGAACACTTTAATAATCTAAAGAACCTTTTTTCCACTAAAAGGTTCTGTGGATGTTAAAGGTTCTTCATGGAACCATCAATGCCAATAAAGAACATTTATTTTTAAGCATCCTTTATGGATATGATGTAGCAAGCAAACACAATAATACTGCCACAAAACGTCAATATGTGTTAGACAGGTGTTTTGTTGCGGAGACTTGTATCTATAAAGGAACTGATTAACCCTGTGCTTATAGAAATATTCACTGGTGTGAAGTCTGACAGCTAGCCCTGGTGTCCTCTGATCATTCACCTTGCTGAAAGTGCCTCTGCCATCCACATGAGGTCCATGTTACAGGCCGAGAGCGGCAGATGAGACCGTGCGGGCTTTCGTAGGCATTGCTCAGATAGCCGTTGGTCAGAAGAACGTCAGTGACGAGCTGTAAGTTTGTTTCCCATCGAATGGGCTCCTCAAACAGAACTACAGCTAGAGGCACAGGACAAAAGAAGAGGATTTAAGTCATGTCATTTAGGATAACACCTTTTCTGGTGTGCGTGTACATTTGATCAGACAGATTAGTGAATCATTCAGACCAGTTTCATGAAAATCTTCTTCTTCTCTATTGTCATGAATATCTGAGAGAAACAGCTTCTAGAATGAAGAAAAAATGGTCTTTGTGGGAATTGACTGGACTGATTAACTTGACTTGTTTAAAATTACGAGGATGTGTGAATTTTGGTAGCACTATATTTAACAGTCCTGTTCCTCATGTACATACTATGTACTTATTAAAGTAATTATTACCGTTAAATTCACGGTCATTTTTTACAGTGTAGGTACACTGCAAGTACACATACTGTAAAATAAAGTGCAATAAAAAAAAAAAAGAAGATGTGCATGGATTGAGGTCCATGTCATTTAGGATAACACCTTTTCTGGTGTGCGTGTACATTTGATCAGACAGATTAGTGAATCATTCAGACCAGTTTCATGAAAATCTTCTTCTTCTCTATTGTCATGAATATCTGAGAGAAACGGCTTCTTGAATGAAGAAAAAATGGTCTTTGTGGGAATTGACTGGACTGATTAACTTGACTTGTTTAAAATTACGAGGATGTGTGAATTTTGGTAGCACTATATTTAACAGTCCTGTTCCTCATGTACATACTATGTACTTATTAAAGTAATTACAATAACTAGGTACTAACCCTGAACCTACCACCACTAAACCAAACCTAACTCACGTAGTTAGTTACCTTATATTACCCAAACTTTCTTAGGTACACTGTAAAAAAAAATCCGTAAAATTTACGGTAAAAAACCGGCAGCTGTTGTTGCCGGAATTTTCCTTATATTACCCAAACTTTCTTAGGTAGGTACACTGCAAGTACACATACTGTAAAATAAAGTGCAAAAAAAAAAAAAAAGATGTGCATGGATTGATCAATCATTAAAAAACAGCAATTTTGCATAAAAATAATCTTGAGAAATAATCATGAGATCTTGATTTGATGGTGAAGAGGAACACATGGTTACAGTACAGCCGTGTAACTATCCCCTTATCTTCAGAAATATCTCAGCTTGGGCTCTGGGGAGGTTCAGCACAGGAGCAGACTGAAACAACGAGGAAAGGATCGGATTTCTCTCATATCTGCTATTATATGTCATCTGTCCGAACAACAACTGATTCCTTCACAGAACCACAGGTTTGAGGATATAAATTAGTGGAAATATAAAATATAAAACAGCTCATTAGTGGAGTCTGCAAGACCTGAAGTGGGTGTGTCAGATACAGGGAGACAAACAAATCATGCAGTGCTGATTTAAAGTAAGTCTGATTTTGTGGTGGCTGTGCTTCAAAGGGGCCATCGGATGCCCATTTTCCACAAGTTGGTATGATTCTTTAGGGTATTCTTGAAATGGTCTCAGTGGTCATGTAAAACAACACCCTTTTTACCTTGTCAAAAACAGCTCTGTTCACAGCGACTGGTTTCGGTGCATTTCTCTTTACATGCTAATGAGCTCTGCTGACCCCGCCCCTCTCTTCTGTGGAAGAGCAAACGCGATTCGCAAATAATCATAATAAATAAATATATAAATAAAAAGCTACGGGTGTCCCGTGTTCGAATCCCGACTCAAGGACCTTTCCCGATCCCGCCCCCCCAATTTTGCATCCAATGTCTCCTTTAAAATTAAAATATTATAATCTTAATTCAAGTGATGAAGGATTTCGAAAGTCTGACAGTTATCAGTGTTGAGCACATACTGTAAGTTTAACCCTGCCTGCTTTACATGTTTGAAAATGATTAACAGTTGAAAACATTAGAAATTTAGAAAAGTAATCAAAAAGTAATCAAATGTAATCAGTTACATTACTTTAATAAAGTAATTGAAAAGTTACACTACTTATTACATTTTAAGTAGGGTAACTTGTAATCTGTAACATTACATTTCCAAAGTAACCTAAGTAACCTTGGGAACATAGTATACAAAATATTTACAGATTTTTGTACAGCAGTTCTCACAGGTGGAACAGGTGGAACAAGAACAGAAGTTCGTTTTTCCCATTTTCACAAGCCAATTTGCAAACAAAAAACAGCTCATACTTAAATGCAATACACAATCTGACATGATCAGCATAACAATATTGTCTTTTAACGTCAACGGTGTGGTCCAAATGACAGACTTTGTGTGAGCTCATATGACAGCTTAACAATGAAATGTTAACTGTACAGATAATAAGCATCATACTGACCATGTCAAGTTAAGCTGGACACATATTTTCAGCTTTTGTGTGCCTGGTTTATTTATGCATTTCCAACCACTCTGTGTCTTATCCAGCCCATGCGATCAAATAATGCCAGAGCAGTTCTCATCTTGTGCTCAGCTCTGGCCTCAGTGTTCAGATTCACGGCTGTGTAAGACTGTACACACAACAATGGGATATGAATCCATCTCTGATCCCACTATAAGCCAAGCAAAGCTGTGGCCTCCTCACTCTGTGCCATCAAACTCTCACTGGTGTACTTCTGCAGCCGCTCCATCTTCTTCCGTCTCACCAGGGCTGCCTCGACCTGTGAGACACAACAACATCGTTTCAACATTTCTAGTGATTAAAGGTTGCCATTTATTAAACTTAAATTTGGTCATTTTAGATTTGTGAAGAGTGCAGCTCTTATTCACACAGCTGCAGTGAAAAGTTTACTCAAGTTATATTATCAAAAAATACATTACATTTTTACGATGCACAAATCATACGGACTATTTTTATGATGCTGTTTACAGATGTGGTGGCTATAAACTGCTGTAGTGTTGTAAAGATGGATCTGTGTAAAGGGTTTTTCATGGAAATCATATGGGTTTGGAAGCACATGAGGGTAAATAATGCTAATGGGCATTTTTCAAAAACATTGTATTTGAACATTAGCGCATAAATGATGTTTCACAAGAAAGAAAGAAAAGTTATTTTTTAATAATCGTGTTGTCATCATTTCTGAACATAAGCTTATGATTAGGCATTATACACAACAATGTTCTACAACAAGGTTCAGTTATATCCTAAAGTTTTCTTTTAGTTGAAAACGTGTTAACAAAAAATATATATAAATAAAGAACAAAAAGCATTCAAGCGTTGCAAACGGGAAAAAATGCCAATTACAGAACAGAACATACATAAAAGCTATACATATAAAAGGTGTTTATATTGTGTCCCATGTTGAGAAGATCAATGATATCAGATACTCGAGTGAGTTTGTTCCTCAGACTGATAATAATAAGAATGCACGCCGACAGAGATAACGGTGTGCTAAGTGTCTTGCAGTGCTTTGTGTTTTCTGTATTACATTTCCAAAGTAACCTTCCCAACACTGGGAACATAGTATACAAAATATTTACAGATTTTTGTACAGCAGTTCTCACAGGTGGAACAAATGAAGGATGAACAGAAGTTCGTTTTTCCCATTTTCACAAGCCAATTTGCAAACAAAAAACAGCTCATACTTAAATGCAATACACAATCTGACATGATCAGCATAACAATATTGTCTTTTAACGTCAACGGTGTGGTCCAAATGACAGACTTTGTGTGAGCTCATATGACAGCTTAACAATGAAATGTTAACTGTACAGATAATAAGCATCATACTGACCATGTCAAGTTAAGCTGGACACATATTTTCAGCTTTTGTGTGCCTGGTTTATTTATGCATTTCCAACCACTCTGTGTCTTATCCAGCCCATGCGATCAAATAATGCCAGAGCAGTTCTCATCTTGTGCTCAGCTCTGGCCTCAGTGTTCAGATTCACGGCTGTGTAAGACTGTACACACAACAATGGGATATGAATCCATCTCTGATCCCACTATAAGCCAAGCAAAGCTGTGGCCTCCTCACTCTGTGCCATCAAACTCTCACTGGTGTACTTCTGCAGCCGCTCCATCTTCTTCCGTCTCACCAGGGCTGCCTCGACCTGTGAGACACAACAACATCGTTTCAACATTTCTAGTGATTAAAGGTTGCCATTTATTAAACTTAAATTTGGTCATTTTAGATTTGTGAAGAGTGCAGCTCTTATTCACACAGCTGCAGTGAAAAGTTTACTCAAGTTATATTATCAAAAAATACATTACATTTTTACGATGCACAAATCATACGGACTATTTTTATGATGCTGTTTACAGATGTGGTGGCTATAAACTGCTGTAGTGTTGTAAAGATGGATCTGTGTAAAGGGTTTTTCATGGAAATCATATGGGTTTGGAAGCACATGAGGGTAAATAATGCTAATGGGCATTTTTCAAAAACATTGTATTTGAACATTAGCGCATAAATGATGTTTCACAAGAAAGAAAGAAAAGTTATTTTTTAATAATCGTGTTGTCATCATTTCTGAACATAAGCTTATGATTAGGCATTATACACAACAATGTTCTACAACAAGGTTCAGTTATATCCTAAAGTTTTCTTTTAGTTGAAAACGTGTTAACAAAAAATATATATAAATAAAGAACAAAAAGCATTCAAGCGTTGCAAACGGGAAAAAATGCCAATTACAGAACAGAACATACATAAAAGCTATACATATAAAAGGTGTTTATATTGTGTCCCATGTTGAGAAGATCAATGATATCAGATACTCGAGTGAGTTTGTTCCTCAGACTGATAATAATAAGAATGCACGCCGACAGAGATAACGGTGTGCTAAGTGTCTTGCAGTGCTTTGTGTTTTCTGTTCTTAAACCACTCGAGGAAACGTAAAGGAAGCCTATGTCTCAAGCAACACGTAGTAAAATTCTTCTAATAATAATTAGGATGATTATTTGACTATTTGTGCACACCCCTAATCTCTGGATGATGATTTTTTTCTCTTTAGGCTACCTCAACCAAAGTGTTTTTTATTATTATTTACTCATTTGTGTGCGTGTGTGGTTAACATGATCTGAACAAACCTTCTGCGAGGGAACAGGAACATGAGCGACGAACGACTGAGAACCATCTTCTCCCTCCATCTGTTCTCTTGTTTCGTCATCAGACTGCTCAAAACAGATCACGAAACGAGACTAATGAAAGGAAATCAAACAAACAGAGCGCCACGCATTGACATGTTTACCTCTTCATCTCTAATAGTGTAAATATATTCCTCCTCCTCCACGCCTCCACCAGCAGCTACTCCAGCCTCTCGGCCTGCTTTCCACTTCTCTCCAGCCTCTGCGGTGTACTGCCAAAAACACAAGCCCGGGTTAAACCTCATACATTACACGCAACTCGGAGGAAGCGCTACCAGCAAGCTCTCATATGACCTAAATCTACAGTTGCAGGAAACATACCCCACACACAACACACTAGCTCCTAAAGCAGAAGGAGTTTGAGGGCTCAGTGAATGCAGGAGATGTGAAGTCAGCTTCTCATGAGCCTAGCTTCAGCTCGAACTCAAGTACCGCGAGCCATCGATCTTCAACAGATGTGTGCAATTATTCATCATAAACTGGACAATCAACACAAACAATATGAATAAAAACAAACTTCCCTCTCAGTTTATTGACATGTTTGTAAAGATGCAGTCCTCTGGCGTTCACATGAACATTTCTATGAATCACTTGAGCTTAGATGACAGTTAAATGATTTCACTGTTATTACATGTATCATGTGTGTTTGATTTATGAATCAGCATCTCATGTTCCATTCACTGATAGATGAGTCCTAGTCTATGACAATTTCTGTATGCGAGAGAAACACTAGAGCTTGTTAATAAAAACCATAAAACAAAATGAATCTGTTATGTTGCAATGAACATTAGACTCTTACTCTATTTGTCCCATGCTAGGAACTTTTTTTTTGGACTATTAAATTGGATAATTAATTACATAATAAATTACATAACTGCATATGTTAACTTTGACAGCCCTGATACACAAAAAAAGAAAAGAAAATTCTCTCAAAAACATTTAAAAAGTCTTGATTTTATTCCAAACGATTGACTGGTTTAAGGCTGCATTTATTGACTGAAAAATACAGTAAAAGCAGTACTATTCTGAAATATCATTACAATTTAAAATAATAGTTTAGTTTTTTTATGTGAATATCTAAAATGTGTAATTTATTTAGTCAAGGCTGAATTTTCTGTCACATGATCCTTCAGAAATAATTTCCTGCTCATTATAATCCATGTTGAAAACAGTTTTTACTGCTTCTTAATTTGGTAGAAACTGTGATACATTTGATTTTTCATGACGCTTTGATGAATAGCATTTATTTGAAACATTATAAATGTCTTTAGGGTCACTTTTGATCAATTTAAATTTTTTTATACATTCCCTAAACTTTTGAATGACAATGCATCACAGTTTCCACAGAAATATTGTGCAGCACGACTGTTTTCAACATTGATAATAATCAGAAATGTTTCTTGAGCAGCAGATCAGCATATTATTATGATTTCTGAAGATCATGTGACACTGAAGACTGCAGTAATGATGCTGAAAATACAGCTGCGCATCACAGAAATAAATTACAGTTTAACAGATATTCACATAGAAAACAGCTGTTTTAGATTGATAACAACATTTTATGATATTACTGTTTAACAGTATTTTTGCAGTCTTATAAATGCAGTCTTGGTGAGCAGAAGACACTTCTTTCAAAACATAAAAAAAATCTTCATTATTCAAAACTGTTCACAGGTAATGTGTATTTATTCCATATTCTGCTACCCGTTTTTACTCATTTTGTTCTCTAGTATTTTCATACGACTCATTTTAGCTCAAAATTGCATATACTGCATGTTACTCTGAGCAAGAGAAGTAAAGAACTAATCTACCTCACCCTGCAGACGTCACACTGCTGTAGTTAAGTATTGTTGGCTTTTTTCTGCTAAATTACGTTGGATAATATTGTCTGCTAAATGAAGAAATGTATACGAGTTCTCGTTTTAGGCTGAAGGACTTCTTTAAATGAGAAAACAAAAGCCCTTGCATTACCAGCTTCAATAAACAGAATCACAGGTGTTTGGTTTGTTGCTCATACTCCTGTTCCAGCGGTACTAAAGCGCCGCCGTCTTCGTCTCTATAGCCGTAATAGCCCGCATCGATGTCCTTCATCAGCTCAGCTGGTGTTTTTCTGGCCGCTGGTACAGCTGCTGTGGAAGAATCAAGCAGATCATGTCAGGCAGACGCTCAGTTAAACACCAGAGAAAACTGCTCATCCCACATACTGACAGCAATAACTCATCACTAGATTCTTTTATTAACCCAGAAATCTCTTTAACCCCTCACACAAAGCTCTAATATTAAGAGAAGCCAGCATATCTTACGCTCTCTCTCGAACAGCTCTCGGACTCCTGCTAAGTCTTTTGCGGCACCAAAATACTTGTATCCTCTGTTTCCCGGGACCTCTTTACCCTCACGGTCCAACATCTTCAGCCCCACGCTCTATTAAACACTAAGCTGACACATAGAACCACGAATCATTAACATACTTGTGTTTCTGAATAAATAAAGCTGGATGGATGTCATAAAATCACAAGTCAGTGTTGATTTAAAAGGTTAGAAGCTATAGCTTACATGAATTAAAATCACAAACATGACACTAGTTAATTAAATCATTTAATATACACAGATTTATCCAGTAATATGTAATTTTTCAAACGGATTATAAAAACTTAAATACTAGGTGCTCTAAAAGATCTTCTGCTTTAGACCATCTATCAACATTAAATCCACAAATAAAATCTTAAGGTTTCAACTGCATCTGTCTGAGAGAAAACACAGTTATTTTACAGTTATTTTCAGGGCTTTCAATGTACTCTCATTGAGAAAATAGCTTTAATAATGTGTGCTACTTCTAACAAATACGTTTTTATTCAAAACTAACCAAAATAATGTGTTTATGATTCCCGCACAGGACAGACTTGCTGTTGTTTCCAAACCAAAGGACATATATCAGTATCTCGGCTAACACCCAAAATTAGTTCAGCAATATCGGCAAAAATCTAACATCGTGCATCCCTAGTTATTTGATATATTGTTTAATTTTAAATAAGTGTTTGTTTACCACAAAGCACATTTTGGTCATCCCATTAAAAATAACATTGAAACGGGATCATTTTAGAGCTTTAAAGTGCTGGAAACAGTTGTGTGAATGCTTGGAAGTCACTGAACGTGCTTGAATTTCTCTCTCAAACCCTGAACTGAATAATGTAATAACATTCGACTATTTCTGCCTCAACACCATGGTTACAGCGAGCGCTAATACTTCTGGTGTTCTGACCCGTTTCTAACAGAGAGTTCTGTGCAGAACTCAAACTACTCACTCTGCGGCGTGTTCAGACACGTCTCGCTGGATCTCGGTTTGTTACGCTAATCTAACTTCTGATTAAACTGGAAAAATGCAAAACCGCACTATTTTCACTGGCGGTCTCAGATCTTCTGTAGAAGCTATGAAAACTGATGACAGATGAAGTTAGAAATACACATTAGTAATTCATGTGATGTAACACAGCATGCATCTGTCATTAGTTTGAGTTGAGATGATTACCCTATAGTCCGTGTCCGTTCTCTCGGAGCAGCTTGTTGATTTCATCGTTTAAATCCCGAATCTTAAACTCACCCAGACCAGCTGAGGACGACCGGCAAAAGTTAGTCAGGCACATTCGCTTGTTCATCCTTTGGTCTTTCTCGCACAGTCTCGCCGTTTTGAATCTGGGCGACTTTCTTTGAGACCTCACTGATGATCTAGGAGTGTAAGACAATAGTGGTTAACCCGAGTGTTTGTGGGCCAATAACCCACATATATTAGCAGAACATGGAGAGATCTGGACGTGATGTCTGACCTGTCTTCTCCACTTCTCTGCTTTGGGTAGCTCATTACACTCCGAAGCTAGAAAAGCTCTGCTCTCCTGAAGGCCGTGTGATCCGGTGAACACCAGAGATAATGCAGACGCGTTCAGATGACCATCTGCACTGGACTCAGCTGAAGCTTTCCCTGCTCGAGCTGGGCTTGACGAACCCTGACGAACCCTGGCCACGGCTGTCCTGCAGAGCAACACAACAGCATTAACAGAGCACTCTGCTCGAGACACGAGAGAAAGCGCAATAATCGCTTCAGCGGGCTGTGTTTAAGCGCTCATGTTTTCTGTAGAACGCGTAATCAGTCTTCGACAGATAACACGTGCTGGACATTTAATTGAACCTAACCCCAGCATACTGTACTCGATAACACTACGAGCATCTGATCTGTGTAACTCCGTTTATTAAATCTGACAAACTTCTGCGTCAACGGAGAAAACCCGCTTTGCTCTCGAGTTGACAGAATATGTATTCATTTCAGACAAAAAGCCATTCAGCTACTTTTATAAACCTATAATAACACAAGTGCGATCATTTGAAATGCATTAGCTAGGGAAGAATGTTTATTTTACCATGTTTGTAGCTCAGATGTTTGATCCGCGTCAGCGCGCACGACGCATGAAGATGACGTGTCGCTACACTGGACCACTTCCGGCGCCAAGCGATGACAGATCAAACGCCTGAGAACGCAGGTGGGTTTATTTATTTATTATAGTCGTGGTACTAACTTGTAACTGGTACTACTTTGAAAGACTAACTGTCTGTTTCTTTCAAACAGGACTTTACAGTGATCTTCTTGAGGCAAACTGAACTGTGTGTGTGTCGGTCTCAACAGAAAAACACGCCAACCATCAAAAAACAAGGTCGTTTTCGGCTGCACACCAAAGAGACTGCATTTTTAAAATAAAAAACAACCTTTTTATTACTATTTTAAAATTAGACAAAATATTGTTAAAAAAATCCCAATGTGTAATATAAACTGTTTAAAAAAAGTAATTAGTAAATATTTTCCCACTAGAAAATAAAACCATACAATGAGATCTGCCAGGGTTTGCAAGCCTCCGCACTCACAAAAAGACACTGTGGCCAAATGTGCAGACACTTCTCTTATGAGACCGTGAAAAATCAAAAATACAATCTACAATCCCAAACACGGAGTGTATTCCTGGAAAGAAACGGAAACACGAGAGCACTCAGAAAAGACAGGCCAGTCTTCACACCCCTTCCTCCAGATTTATTGAGTTTAAAATTACATTTCTATGTCCTACACCTTCAGTTGCATTCACCTTCAGACTTAAAAACTGAGTACAAGCAAATGAAAGTTTTTTTATTATCATCATTATTATTATTTTTAGAGTAGTCTAAGTGATATTGTACAAAAATAACATTTTGATTTCTGTGAAAACGTTCACCTTTCTTCTAACTCCAAATCTGTTTTACTACCTTTTTCTATTGAAGTTTTCAGCTTGGGTGGAGCGTCCTACACTCCATCCATCTGTTATCTCCTGGGGTCATAGGTTTGCGACGTCACGGCTGACCAAACAGCCCATGTTTTAAAGGATTTCATTTTCTGGAACTGTTCTTACACAAGGCTTCCAGAATATGCTATAAAGTTGTTTGCGCTATATTACACGTGACGTACTCTATGCTGTTGCTGTTTTCTCCACATAGCTGCGCACTGCTGGTTTGGCCCGGATAGACCCAACCGTATGTGTCCTGTGCTGCTTTTCCAGCTCAATCGCTCACAGGCTACCTCGGTCTCAGCGATAAAACAAACAATGCAAGAAGCGAGCGCTTCCCTGATCTCTGTATGGTTGGTTTTTAGCATGTGTGTTTTTCTCCCGAGCCTCCAGAGGCCTCTCCGACACGCGCTCTTCCACTCAACACACCTCTGCTCACCAGTGGCACGGAAAGGGGGTTCTTTAACAAAGCATTATACATAACACCTCTACCAAACTAAACATAAACATTTTTTGTATTAAATGCAGAAAGTGGGAAGTTTTCTTCCACCCCTTTCCTCCTCCTCCATGTCAAGAGCTCACTGGCCTGGGAATAGCCTCGATCAGCCAACCGATGGCCAGCGAAGAGGACTCAGAGAAAACAATACAGCCATCAATCAGAGAAAGGAGGGGCGATGGAGGGGCCGGGGCTAAGCGGTGGCCTCGATGCTGCACTCCTTGGCCACGTGGCCGGACTTCCCGCAGTTGTAGCAGTTGACTTCGCTGGCCTTGCTGCACTGAACGGCGACGTGTCCGATCTCCCCGCACCTGAGAGGAGCAGAAGCACAGGTCAGCGCGGCTCTCTGGCACCCAAGGCGCTGGGGCCCCGCGGCTCACCTGTAGCACTTGACCTTCTCGCAGCCCTTCTGGATGTGTCCGAAGCCACCGCAGGAGTAGCACTTCTGCTCGTTAGCGTGGTCGCAGTCGCGGGCCATGTGTCCGGCCTTGCCGCAGTTATAGCAGACCTGCTCGCGCTCCTTCTTGGGCTCTTTGCAGTCTCTGGAGATGTGGCCGCCCCTGCCACAGTTGTAGCACGCTGCAAAACACACACACACACACACACACACACACACACTAGGGATGAGCGATGTGGGCTTAAACAGGGAAGTTTTCTTCCACCCCTTTCCTCCTCCTCCATGTCAAGAGCTCACTGGCCTGGGAATAGCCTCGATCAGCCAACCGATGGCCAGCGAAGAGGACTCAGAGAAAACAATACAGCCATCAATCAGAGAAAGGAGGGGCGATGGAGGGGCCGGGGCTAAGCGGTGGCCTCGATGCTGCACTCCTTGGCCACGTGGCCGGACTTCCCGCAGTTGTAGCAGTTGACTTCGCTGGCCTTGCTGCACTGAACGGCGACGTGTCCGATCTCCCCGCACCTGAGAGGAGCAGAAGCACAGGTCAGCGCGGCTCTCTGGCACCCAAGGCGCTGGGGCCCCGCGGCTCACCTGTAGCACTTGACCTTCTCGCAGCCCTTCTGGATGTGTCCGAAGCCACCGCAGGAGTAGCACTTCTGCTCGTTAGCGTGGTCGCAGTCGCGGGCCATGTGTCCGGCCTTGCCGCAGTTATAGCAGACCTGCTCGCGCTCCTTCTTGGGCTCTTTGCAGTCTCTGGAGATGTGGCCGCCCCTGCCACAGTTGTAGCACGCTGCAAAACACACACACACACACACACACACACACACACTAGGGATGAGCGATGTGGGCTTAAACATATAGCACGAATACATTATTTATCACCATAACGATATCAATGACGGTAATTCAAGGAATCCTGTTTCTTTAGAGAGATGTATTATTTTTCCTGTTTTTACCCAAAATAGGGTGTTGTGAGCATTACGGAGCACACACACGTAACGTAATGACTGTTTAATTCATACACTGGAAGCCGGAGGGCGCTCTCGCACATAAACTCCACACATGCATCACAGAAGTAATAGAACCGACCACGCTCCAGGAAATCCCTAATATGCACAAAGGCATCCAGTTATCGCTGAATAAAACGCACAACGGAGATTTTAACTGATGAAGCTTGAAGGCAATAAACATACGATTGCGACAATATATGGTTTATCTGTGCTCTACAAGCAATCTTGGGTATTTTTTTATAAAGGAAAGAATATTTATAATGCAATGCTGATCGTCATAGCCTTTATCGGTGTATATAATACTATCATTCTGTGATATGAAACCACGTCTGGCCACAAAAAGAAGTATTTCAAACACTCGACTATGTTATTAAGTTAATTTGGAGAAAAAGCATGTCAATAAATGATATCTTTGCTGGATAACAGGTTTGTAAACGGTCTCATACACATGCTACTGTAGTACATTTATTCAGACTGACTGTGTGTGCACTGTTCAGTCCTGACCAAACCAGCTCCAGTAGAAGGAGCTCTTCGTTTAGCGATAAACTCCTATAATTTCACGTCTGCCTTCCACCATGTCGCTCCGCACGGTCGCACGCAGACATGTCAACAACTAGACTATCGTTATTATCGCGGGAAGACTATTTCTTATCGTGGGGAGAGTTATTACCGGTATATCACAAACTATCAGACATCGCCCATCCCTACAACACTCAAGAGATTTTAAGCTTTCAATTCATATATACTTTATAGTGATTTCTAAAGCGTGATAAAAGGAACGAAGAAAGACTTTTTCTGACAAAGGTTAGAACTCCTGTTATGATGTAGATTTTTGATTAAGAAAAAAAAAAAAAGTACTTTTCCTACACAATTTGTAACAAAAAAAAGTGGTAAAATATATAGGAGTCTTATATAATGATATACAGTTTGTCATGATTAGACTAGGATTTATTTGTAATATAGTGAAGTAAACTTACAGTTAAGAACATTTTTTATCCTCTTTATCTTTTACATGCACATGGGGGGGGAAAAATTGGTGTGGGAAATTTTGCTTCAGACATTTCTATTAGAGTTCAAGAGAAACGGCTAGTAATATTGAATTAAAAGGGAAATTCTGAAGTATTTCAACAGTGTGAATTTTTGTGGAAAACTAGTGTATACTAATTTTAGCAAGAAATTGTTTATAAATCGCACAAATTGCAATCAGCAAGTAGCACATTGAATTAAACATGAAATTTTGAAGTAAAAAAAAAAAGTCTAAAATTGTATTTTCTTGGAAAACACCACACTTATTTACTTTGAAAAATCAATTTTTACAGCATAATAATGTTTTTTAGGAGTGCACCACATCAACTAACCCAATGCTAACTGGATGTGAATACTCTTACATATTTAAAATGCAATTTTACTCTTTGGTCAGCATTCAAACTTTAAAAAACTAGAGTTGTAAATAAAACTGAACACTGGAGCACATCTCACGAGTAAATATTTCAGTATTTCTACTGAATGTTTAATTTAATGCATTACTTGCCATATCTTTGTATAAATTTCACATAATTTGTGAAATTTACTATGAATTGCTGACTAAAAATTGTTTAGATAGTAATTTTTTATTTTTTTTCCACACAGTTGAACCATTTAAAATGAGCCAGACAGTGTTTGTTTAACTCAGTGTGTGTGACCTGTAATGGTGAAGCTGACTAGCTGACTGAAAAGTGTTTTCTCCGTGTCCCGAGTGATGGACAGACTCTCTGATATGAGAAATGTTTACAATCACAGCACGTAACACAAATGTTTTGACAGATTACACGTCCTCACCATCCTCGGTCCTCTCGCAGTCCCTCGCTACGTGGCCTGGCTCTCCACAGCGATAGCAGAACAGATCTAGCGTGAGCAGAGACACACATTATTCAGCCGATCCGCTCAGCACACACCTGCTTTAACAGCGCAGCGAGCGGCTCGTACCTTTCCCTCGGCCACGACCCTTTCCACGGCCGCGGCCTGCGTTTGGACAGTTCTTGATCCAGTGGCCCGTGCGGCCGCAACCGAAGCACTCGCTGCTGCTCATAGCCTCCGACTGAGAGAGAAAACATTACACTTCATGCAAATAAACAGCTTTATGCTTTGAATGAAGCTGCAGTCTTGACACCAGAGTTGTCAGATATTCAACGAACACAAACCCAGAAGGTGGTGCTCAAAAATAAAAGAAACTTCCAAGTCAACTCATTAAAGAAACCAGTACACAACTAGCCGAGCACATTTTACTCAACAGTTGTAGACCAGCTGATTTATTTATGCATTCACTTTTTAACGCCATGCCAGCATCAAGGCTATTTTCATGGCAATCTCAAAATAAAGTACACAAGGTATACACTTAACAAAAAGCTATAAAAGTCATTTCAGATCTACACTAGCCACAAATTCTAAAATACATTCAGGTGATACATTTTTAAACAAATCGGTCAAACACACCTCTGAATGAAACAATTGTCTATTTACATTAAAAACAGTACAATCCAATAAAATATGCTTCATAGTCATTTTGGTTTGGCAAGTAAGACATGATGGTGATTCTTCACCTTTTAATAAATATCCATGTGTACTAAGTCTTGTATGATCTACACACTGTAAAACTACTTTGTAAACCAGTTGATAAACCAGTTGAAGTGCATATGATTAGCATTTGCTTTAAATGACACTTAAATTAATTTGCATTGATAAAAAAAGAGAAGTTTTTGCAGTTTTCAATAAAACGCCATTTCCAAAACAGCTCGTTTCATGGTACAGGTATGTTAATAAAAGTCTTAAACACAAGTTTTAGTGGTTAACATTGCGGCCAGTAACTTTTCTCTGACTTTTGAGAGAGACGGTTGTCTCTTGGATGAGTTCTTGGTTTGAGAATCGCTCGATTCAACCGATTCCTTGGAAAGATTCGACTCAGAAAACGAATCGTTCGCGAACGGGACTGTCAGCTAACACAGCTCCCGTTAAAACACGTGGTGTAATCTACTTAAACATGACAAAACCCACCGACCCGGACAGCACTGCTGTGTATCGTTCTCGTTGCTGCGAATGATTAAAACCGGATTCGACGCGCTAACGATGCCAAAACAAACCGAATGCGAATCAGAACGCGTCTACTGAGGACAATAATGCTGTCCAGGCAGGCAGTGTAAACACACAGCTGAGCTACACACACACACACACACACACACACACACACACACACAGCGAGTGCAGACAGCGCGTTTAAACCCGCCGCGCTCCAGCATCTGCAGCACAGACCGAGATGAAGATCTGGAGACATGAAGAGCTCCTCAGGGCTGAGGTCTGGCTGTCCACTCACCCATCCAGTCCCGCGACGACATTACATCTATCCTCCAGCTATGAGCGCGTATAACCGCTGTCGCTAACGTGAGTTATGATCGTGTCGCGTCTGCGATCGTCTTTTCCTGCTCGCAGCCTGTCGCAGCAGGCCAAAGTGCGCCGTCAGAAAACCTCACTTCTGTGCCTTTCTGGACACACTCGCCTTACAAACACAGCTCTGGCATCTCGAGACCGTGACGACGACGACGCCAACCCGTATGCGTCGAGTAAATGTAGTGTTTTCGTCCTTGAAGGGAACTCACCTCAGCGACGTGACTGTAGCTGTTTATGTTCGTCTGCGCTGCGCAACACGCGCTCTGCGCACGGCACGCGACTCCTCCGCCCCGCCCACCGCGCTCTTGCACACGACCCTCAGCCGCAAACACGTGACGACAGCACGCTCACCAGCGAGACCGACAGACAGCTGTGTGACGCTTCTGAGAGAGAGAGAGATATATATATATTATACAGACTGATGGATGGATGGATAGATACTCAGTGCAGGTTGTACCATGGTACCTGTTTGAAATCCTGTAAATAGCAGAAATAAATAACCCTAATAAACATAACCTAATACAGACTGAGGGATCACTAGAGAGGAGGCACAGACAGAGCTCTGAGAGCTGAAGAACTCCATCACCATCACAACATTTCAGTAAATAGCACTCAAGTTTATGGCTGTACCAAATCCAGAACAATGAAGACATATATTGGGAGAAAACTCCAGTTTGATCACAACAGCAGCTAAATATATGTAACAGCCTGCCACAAACTAAGAGAGCCAGCCAGCAGAAACTAAAAGTCAGAAATATTCTTACATCTTAACAGGTCTGAATGCATGTACATGCTTTTCCCCTCTTATTATATTTCTTTTTAGTTCTGGTTGTTTCTAAAACATTTGGTTTTGTTTGCTTAATTATTGATCGAGTGTGTGTGTGTGTGCGTGCGTGTGTGTGTGTGTGAGAGCGAGTGTGTGTGTGTGTGCGTGCGTGTGTGTGTGTGTGAGAGCGAGTGTGTGTGTGTGTGCGTGCGTGTGTGTGTGTGTGAGAGCGAGTGTGTGTGTGTGTGCGTGCGTGTGTGTGTGTGTGAGAGCGAGTGTGTGTGTGTGTGCGTGCGTGTGTGTGTGTGTGAGAGCGAGTGTGTGTGTGTGTGCGTGCGTGTGTGTGTGTGTGAGAGCGAGTGTGTGTGTGTGTGCGTGCGTGTGTGTGTGTGTGAGAGCGAGTGTGTGTGTGTGTGCGTGCGTGTGTGTGTGTGTGAGAGCGAGTGTGTGTGTGTGTGCGTGCGTGTGTGTGTGTGTGAGAGCGAGTGTGTGTGTGTGTGCGTGCGTGTGTGTGTGTGTGAGAGCGAGTGTGTGTGTGTGTGCGTGCGTGTGTGTGTGTGTGAGAGCGAGTGTGTGTGTGTGTGCGTGCGTGTGTGTGTGTGTGAGAGCGAGTGTGTGTGTGTGTGCGTGCGTGTGTGTGTGTGTGAGAGCGAGTGTGTGTGTGTGTGCGTGCGTGTGTGTGTGTGTGAGAGCGAGTGTGTGTGTGTGTGCGTGCGTGTGTGTGTGTGTGAGAGCGAGTGTGTGTGTGTGTGCGTGCGTGTGTGTGTGTGTGAGAGCGAGTGTGTGTGTGTGTGCGTGCGTGTGTGTGTGTGTGAGAGCGAGTGTGTGTGTGTGTGCGTGCGTGTGTGTGTGTGTGAGAGCGAGTGTGTGTGTGTGTGCGTGCGTGTGTGTGTGTGTGAGAGCGAGTGTGTGTGTGTGTGCGTGCGTGTGTGTGTGTGTGAGAGCGAGTGTGTGTGTGTGTGCGTGCGTGTGTGTGTGTGTGAGAGCGAGTGTGTGTGTGTGTGCGTGCGTGTGTGTGTGTGTGAGAGCGAGTGTGTGTGTGTGTGCGTGCGTGTGTGTGTGTGTGAGAGCGAGTGTGTGTGTGTGTGCGTGCGTGTGTGTGTGTGTGAGAGCGAGTGTGTGTGTGTGTGCGTGCGTGTGTGTGTGTGTGAGAGCGAGTGTGTGTGTGTGTGCGTGCGTGTGTGTGTGTGTGAGAGCGAGTGTGTGTGTGTGTGCGTGCGTGTGTGTGTGTGTGAGAGCGAGTGTGTGTGTGTGTGCGTGCGTGTGTGTGTGTGTGAGAGCGAGTGTGTGTGTGTGTGCGTGCGTGTGTGTGTGTGTGAGAGCGAGTGTGTGTGTGTGTGCGTGCGTGTGTGTGTGTGTGAGAGCGAGTGTGTGTGTGTGTGCGTGCGTGTGTGTGTGTGTGAGAGCGAGTGTGTGTGTGTGTGCGTGCGTGTGTGTGTGTGTGAGAGCGAGTGTGTGTGTGTGTGCGTGCGTGTGTGTGTGTGTGAGAGCGAGTGTGTGTGTGTGTGCGTGCGTGTGTGTGTGTGTGAGAGCGAGTGTGTGTGTGTGTGCGTGCGTGTGTGTGTGTGTGAGAGCGAGTGTGTGTGTGTGTGCGTGCGTGTGTGTGTGTGTGAGAGCGAGTGTGTGTGTGTGTGCGTGCGTGTGTGTGTGTGTGAGAGCGAGTGTGTGTGTGTGTGCGTGCGTGTGTGTGTGTGTGAGAGCGAGTGTGTGTGTGTGTGCGTGCGTGTGTGTGTGTGTGAGAGCGAGTGTGTGTGTGTGTGCGTGCGTGTGTGTGTGTGTGAGAGCGAGTGTGTGTGTGTGTGCGTGCGTGTGTGTGTGTGTGAGAGCGAGTGTGTGTGTGTGTGCGTGCGTGTGTGTGTGTGTGAGAGCGAGTGTGTGTGTGTGTGCGTGCGTGTGTGTGTGTGTGAGAGCGAGTGTGTGTGTGTGTGCGTGCGTGTGTGTGTGTGTGAGAGCGAGTGTGTGTGTGTGTGCGTGCGTGTGTGTGTGTGTGAGAGCGAGTGTGTGTGTGTGTGCGTGCGTGTGTGTGTGTGTGAGAGCGAGTGTGTGTGTGTGTGCGTGCGTGTGTGTGTGTGTGAGAGCGAGTGTGTGTGTGTGTGCGTGCGTGTGTGTGTGTGTGAGAGCGAGTGTGTGTGTGTGTGCGTGCGTGTGTGTGTGTGTGAGAGCGAGTGTGTGTGTGTGTGCGTGCGTGTGTGTGTGTGTGAGAGCGAGTGTGTGTGTGTGTGCGTGCGTGTGTGTGTGTGTGAGAGCGAGTGTGTGTGTGTGTGCGTGCGTGTGTGTGTGTGTGAGAGCGAGTGTGTGTGTGTGTGCGTGCGTGTGTGTGTGTGTGAGAGCGAGTGTGTGTGTGTGTGCGTGCGTGTGTGTGTGTGTGAGAGCGAGTGTGTGTGTGTGTGCGTGCGTGTGTGTGTGTGTGAGAGCGAGTGTGTGTGTGTGTGCGTGCGTGTGTGTGTGTGTGAGAGCGAGTGTGTGTGTGTGTGCGTGCGTGTGTGTGTGTGTGAGAGCGAGTGTGTGTGTGTGTGCGTGCGTGTGTGTGTGTGTGAGAGCGAGTGTGTGTGTGTGTGCGTGCGTGTGTGTGTGTGTGAGAGCGAGTGTGTGTGTGTGTGCGTGCGTGTGTGTGTGTGTGAGAGCGAGTGTGTGTGTGTGTGCGTGCGTGTGTGTGTGTGTGAGAGCGAGTGTGTGTGTGTGTGCGTGCGTGTGTGTGTGTGTGAGAGCGAGTGTGTGTGTGTGTGCGTGCGTGTGTGTGTGTGTGAGAGCGAGTGTGTGTGTGTGTGCGTGCGTGTGTGTGTGTGTGAGAGCGAGTGTGTGTGTGTGTGCGTGCGTGTGTGTGTGTGTGAGAGCGAGTGTGTGTGTGTGTGCGTGTGCTGTCCTGAAGGCTTTTATAGCAGAGTCGGTTTACTGATGGAGCAGACCATTCAAGAATCAATATGTTCAGAGCTGTGGTCATCTCTTACCGTTAAGGTGGTTTGCATATCTGGAGCTTTACAGCCCTGTTTGTGCAGTCTCCATGCTTGTCAACAAAAAATACTTTAAAAAACATTTCATAGGAATAGCTTTTCTTAAATTGATAAAGAGCATGATATGAAACAAACTCGTGCTTGTGTCCCGAATATAAGTGATCAAACATACAGACGTTCAGCCCAGTTTCTGCTGTGACCTCATGTTTGGTCTGTAGCCTGCTGCTGTCAGATGCTGTTCTCCCCGCCTCCATCTCTGTGAGAGCAGAGTGCAGCTGAGAAGCTCTGGGATTTATTCACAGAGAGCCTCCATTAGACACTGAGCCGCAGCTCGATAGCACACTGGGCTCATTGGTAAGCAGAAGTGCCATTTGCTGGATTTGTATTATAGGAGAAAAGGCCCAGATTGTTTGGCTGTTCCCTGCTGTGGATGAGCTGAGAATGGGGTGAAGAGAGAGCATCAAACAGAGCTTTTGGTTGGATATGAGAAGATAATCTGCATGGATGGGTTTCACCAGCACTTCTTGATTCAGGTGAGTAACTGTAGGGAAGATATAGCACCTAATAAACTAATTTTAACATTAGTTTATTAATAATAATCTGATTCTTCAAGAACTCAAAAATGCTAAGAGTGGCAGTATTGATGGCTGTGGAAGTAACCTTTGTTCATGTTCTGCCCTTCTTTTAACTGTAATCTTTTTTTTCTTTTTAGTCTTCTATGACATTGTGACAAAATAAATAAATAAAAAAACAAAACATGTGCATAAAGGTATTATATGGTTCTGTACAGGTCATCTAATAGAAGTCTAGGTCAAAACTGAACAGTTATGAAGGTGATTTGACTGGCGATGTTGAACAATGCTGTGCGCTGGTAATATTCTGTGAAATGTTTTGATTGGAATTAACTGCAATGTAGTTGTTTTTCGCAGTAAAGCTTGCATTCATTCAAACCGTGAGCTAATGTGCTGCTATGGACAAGTGGTGGCACTGTTATCTCAGTTTATGTTATTTCTAGTGTTTTAAGTGTATCAGCTTGTTACAATACATAAAATACAAGCAATATTAGAAGCCAATAACAGCACAAATATGTAGAAATGCAAGTATAATGTAGAACAAGTGTTCTTGTAAGATGAAATGAATGATTTATATGTAAAATCTCTATGGTGTCATGGCACTGGAAGAAACAGGCCTACACAGCACACTCTGTTAATACTACCGCTACGGGTAAATGTAAGAAAAATGAGCTGTGGAAAAACCTCTTTGCTGTCTTTCTGTCTGTGCCAAAACCCCACTCTGGTGTTTTCTCATCTAACCATACAACCTGCCATCTGAAGCTCTGGTCACTTCTGGCAAACTATAAGTGCATGTACAGTAAATGCTTCTGTATTGCAACATGCCCCAAACAAGTTCAAACCTCCTAACTGGACTCATTTTCAGCCCTGGACCGGCCCACTTTAGTTCACAACTGAGCTACTAAAATAAGACTACGTTATAGCTTTCATACGGGACGCTTCTTTGATGCCTCAAACACGGGCATCCATATTTCAACCCAGTGACATTACAGCAACCGGCCCTCGCGGCCCAAATACAGACTTCTCCCGCTGCTCCCGATTAGCTG